GCTCAATTAAACAAATGTAGAGATAAATCTACATTTATAAGAATACTAATTTGTACTTAGTTCAACTTCCACAAAATTCACTGATAACAACTATAAAAAATAGTTATACATAGTGGGTAATTGTTGAATTCATTTGTTAATTGTAATACACAAGCGTACATGTTAAACAATATAATACCATGAAATATCATTTTAAAAGTAAACTGAAATATCATCTGTGATCATGTATCAATACAACTAAAATAATATTCAAATGAAAAACAATATTAAATGTATAAAATCATCATACACATTTCAAACAAATCTTTTCTAAACTTCCGGAGGCTGATTTCTACAAGAACGCATATTGTAACCTACAATGCCACATGTACTGCATGTATTTGTCCCCTTATTTTTAAACACCTCTCTTCCTGATTTTTCGCGAGACTTTTTTCTTGGTCTTCAAGGAGACCTTTTGATTTCTGGAGGCAGAACTAAATTAATCATTATGTATCCAGGGACCACCCACTCTGTTTAGAACATCCTAAGCATGTCCACATGGCATTTCTTCATACTGAAAGCTTTCACAAGTACACTTTTTCTTCTGGAGACAAACTAAATAATACCTTTATCATTGACATTGTGAACATATTCTGTTAATGAAAAAATGTGAAATATACAAAAACAAATCAAAATAGATTAGTATGTACAAATTAAGACAAATATAAAAAAATTATACCATCATTCGTGTACTCATTGCTTCATTAATTTTGAGTGTCTCCTGAAATTTTTCAATCAAGGGAGTAAATGCTAATGATACCTCATTTTTGTTATCATAATTTCATATGTTAAAATTAGCCTAACTTCCTCTAGAAAATCAAAAATTGACAATTCTCTTGCTGAAACTAATGCCGCATTTATACTTTCTGCGATATTCGATGTCATTGACGAACCACGATGAACTGGTGCATCCATTCTAAACCATTTATCATATCCATCCAACTTCAAATATTCCTTTACTCATATCTGCTTTCTCTACTATTTTCATTAGTCTATCAAAATCTTACTGATTACATTTCTTAGCATTGTAAAGAATACTGGACTTAACATTTCATGGAATTTTTGGTACTTTGTCTTAACATTCTTTAAAAGGTGTCACATACAAGCATAGTGTTGCACATTATTATGCACTTGTGTAACAACCTTTATGATGCTTTCTTTTCTATCAGACACAATACACATATTTTTCCTTTCCCCATATTATTCTCTTACTTTTTCAAAAAATTATGTCCAAGAGGCATCATTCTCTGAATCTAAGACACCATATGCTAGTGGGAAGATATGACCTACATATACATTTTTATAAGTTACAGAGTTCCATATTATATGAATATATACAAAGAGTTGTGTATAACAGTAATTAAAAATTCATATATTTATATATAATATAAAATGCATATTTATATTCCTACACTGTCAATCGTAGTAGCTGCTACAAAAGTTTAATTATAAGGTCCTCAAAGATAACACCCATCAACTACAACTACAAGTCGGCAATGGTCAAATTCTTTGATGAAACGATCCAATGCAATTAACATGTACAATAACCTATCTTCATCTATTTTCTGCAAGTGTATATGGGATCATGGATATGTAATACCAAATATATACAAATATGAAGGTAATTTGTTGTACGATCCTCCTAGCGTCCCCCTCAAGGAAATCAAACCCCTTTCTTTAGCTCTCCAAGTCCACATGTAAGATATATCAACACCAAGATCCAACTTCATAACTTTTTTTATGTCAGAAGGTGCATATTTCCTTTTATGATCTATCAATTTAGGCTTAACATTTCCACCACCTAAGTTGCTTGTTACTTGTCGTTGTGAATAAACCCTAGCTTTCAGTGAACATATATGTTCAACGTTGAACGCTCTTATTCTAAACATTCCTGATTCATTAATATATGAGGCCTTCATTAACCAGTTGCATTCATTGGAGAAACACACAAGTGTATAACTATACGTAAAATTATAAGATATACATATAAGTCAAAATTATACACCTAATAACAGTTGACTAGATTTATACAAATGATGTTACCTGATTGAATTTAATTTTTGTCTTAAGCTGGGATTGTACCGCAATTGCATATTGCTCCGTCACGCACTTCAATGTAGCATTATTATTGTACACGTGATCTACCTGTACATACTTATATAATGGATCAGTAATCACCATACTGCAATTCTCCATTTGATAGGTATCGAAGGGATGCACTATCTCTTCAACTGTCAGTTTCTGTTTTTCAAATTTCTCAAAACTAGTTATACAAAGTGATCCCAAAATATCATACGTTGCGTTAGTTGAGCTTTCACAAAGTTTATTGTTCTGATAATACCTGTTAGAGATAGTTATACAAAGGGGATATTTGTTAAATTCATTTATAGACTTTTTTTAGCATAACATATATATGCATCCCCATCTCATTGCGTATCACAATCCTAGTACTGATCTGATCAACCTTATATTCGTACACATTCACATCCACAGAGAGTTGAGTTGCAATTATATTATATAACTTTTTAAAAGAGACATTTTCTCTCAAAACAACTCCCTCAATAACATAGTAAGCATAACATCATCATCCCATTTATCAAAATGCATTACCAAGATTGTTATGGACGACATTCTTGTATACAATCAAATATCTGTATAAATCAGTTGTTATTAATACATTTATACATGCACTAATCATACAATTCTACAAACCAAAGTCACTATATAAAAATTAATTTATACAATAATTAACACAATTCAATTCTTCCAACTTTTTATACAATTAATCACCGAAATAACTCAGTTATACATCTACAAATAAGAATCTACACTTATATGAACACTAACTCATACAGTCACTAAATACACATAAACTACAAATATCAATGAATTGCTATTTGAATATCAATGAATTATACATATTCAAACGGTAATTCAACTGAAACTAATTTATAAAATTTTACAAATCTAAATCACTCTATACAAACTAAATTATATAAAAATTAACTTTTTATAATTAATCACTAAAACAACTTAGTTATACATCTACAGATATCACAGTCTACGTTTATACGCATAATAACTTATACAGTCACTAATTACACATAAATTACATATATCAATGAATTATACATATACAACTCGCAATTCAACTACAACTAATTTATACAATTTACAAATCTAAATAACTCTATACAAACTAAATTCTACAAAAATTTACTTTATACAATTAATCACTCAAACTGCTCAGTTATACATCTACAGATATACCAGTCTACGTTTATATGAACGCTAACTTATACAGTAACTAACTACACCTAAGCTACAAATATCAATGAATTATAAATATACAAATCGCAATTCGACTAAACTAATTTATACAATTTTACAAATCTAAGTCACTATATACAAACTAAATTATACAAAAATTAACTTTACACAATTAATCACTAAAACAACATTTTTACATCGACAGATATAACAATCAACTTTTATACAAATACTAATTTAAACAATCACTAACTACACATAAACTACAAATATCAATGAATTATACTTATACAAATCGCAATTCAACTAAAACTAATTTATACAATTTTACAATTCTATATCACTATGTACAAACTAAATTATACAATTATACAATTAATCATAGAAAGAGCTCGGTTATACATCTACACATATAAAAGTCAACATTTATACAGTACTAACTTACACTACCTACACATAAACTACAAATATAATTGAACCATACATATTCAAATAACAATTCAACTAAATCTAGTTTATACAATTTTACAAAACCAAATAACTCTATACAAACTAACTCCACTGGAAACAATTGAAACATACATTCAATCAAAGTTTTGATTATCGATTAAGATTTGAATTTTGATTAAACAGTTTAAACAATTGAAATAGTTTCTTTGACCTAAATATCAATCGATTGAGCCAAATCTCCAGAGCACAAAACAGAAAAGAGATGAAACTATATACCTAAACTGAATCAATTCATTGTATTGTGTGCCTGTTGTATAATCAGTGATGAAATCGATGCCGATTCGACGATCTCACAAAAAAATTGAGTTGCTGGCGGTGATTTGGGATCAGAGGTACTCAATTCTGTTGCAGAAGGAAGGTACTCAATTCTGCTGGGTGAATTAAGGTATTTATGCCCTCTATGATTAACGCCATTTAATTATAAAAAATTGTGTATAAGTTATTACAGCTGTAGCAACTAGCTACTATTTGTAATTATCAAACTTTAGCTAAATTGAATAATAATTTTAAATATAGTGGCTATTTTGTGAAAATTTCCCTTTAAATTTTGCACACCTAATTTTTTCCAACATGATTTGTTTAAATCAGTGTATTACAATTCATCAGAATATAAGCCTACGAATATAATTGTTAGGAAGTTCAAATAATAACATTTATCCTTGTTATAATAAGGTAAGAAAAAATTTCTCTATGTAAAAGGGTAGACTTAAAGTCCAGCAGAATAACTATTTTGTTGCAGTTGAATTGTTGTTTAATAAGTAAGAATATCCCGCTAAAACACAGATAATGTGCTTAGGGGTATTTACAATTCAAATTAAAATAATTAAATAAATTGACTTTATTTGGTTATATATTTATAAATATAAATAATATTTAATTTGATTTTAGTTTGTCAATTTTTTTTTAAAAAAATAACATACAGAAATTCTACAATTTTTTTTAAAAAAATAATATGCCTATACTATATTTTTTTTAATGAACAATTTTAAGTAACATATAGCACATGTTTTTACTTAAATTTATTTAAAAAATGAAGTAGCAAAAAGTTCCGATGGATACCCATAAATAAACTATTCGACAAATTTTTACACTTTCCGTATTAATTCTTTTTTATCCCAAAAAAAAAGGAAAAGAAAAGTAAATGCTTTTTTCTGGTCAAAATCTAATTCCACTATATATACCTCTTACTCCAATTCGAAAACATCATCTCTTATTTTTGAATGATGAAAAAACAGAAGCTCGAAAACTATCAGGTATTTATATATATATATATAATAATAATTAAGACTCTTAAATTATTTCAAGTCTGGGCTTTATTTTTTGACTAATTATTATTAATAATAAAAATTTGTTGGAGCAGATGGTGGGTGTGGATGCTGCAAAGAGTAAAGAGGAGAAGATGAAGATAATTTTCGACAAGTTTGATGTCAACAAAGATTCACATTTAGGGATAACAGAGTTGTTAGGATGGATCATGGCAGTTGAACCCACATTAAGTAACGATTTGCAAAGGCTTCCATTTCTCCTTCAAATATACTTGGGTAACCCTTCTTTCCTAGCTGGTTCAAAAGGACTATCCTATAGTGGTTTCACTAACATTTACGAAGAAGGTCATCGTAACATTGATCATGACTTCAATACCATAAATATTCAGCCCCCAATTCACCAGGTATGTACCTTAGCTTGCATATGTTTCACAATGTGTCCTATTTAATATATTGGCTGTTTAATGTGAAGTTTTTCATTTTTATATGTAAATTTTGTAAACTATCCTTTGTAGTGTCTATGAGATTAGTACGAAAAAGAATTAATTAGTAATGTTGAGATAATTATGTTATGCGTGGATTATTACTAATCCAGAATTTGGTATAATAGGGACAATTCTATCTTTAATGCCTTAATTTAGTGAAAATACTATGACATGACTAATACATGTATTATTTTCTCTGACCAAAAACACCCCTCAATGTATTCTAACATATTGTAGTGTGTAATTAATCTATCAAATTATCAATGGAGGTATATATTGTTACAGGGATATGTCGTTCGAGGTATTTTACAACAACAACAACAACGTAGCTTGATGCTTCAATCACAACTACAACAACAACAACAATACCAACAACAAGAACAACACCGTAGTTGGATGCTTCAATCACAATTAGTACAACAACAAGCACAACAACGTGCAAGTCTAGCAACGAATACTTTTTCAAACAACCACAGAAACACAACGCAACAAGTGGTACAAATGTCTCTTCTGCCTTTCATATTATTTGAGAACATTTGATAATGTTGCTTTTTATGCCCATCATCTGCACTCTAATTGCGTATTGTATTTTAACAAAGTCCAACTTAAATATTTTTTATCTTTTACATAATTTTTTATTTTATACCTTTCCAACTTTTTCTTGTTTTAGATTACAATTCTTTTCTTTCTTTTTTTTTTGGAATCTTGTACAGGGTGGAGGGATTAGCTCTGCTGGGCCGGTGTCTAATATTGGGATCACAGCACAACAAATGGTACAAATGCTTCAACAGCCCTTAATATTATTCGGCAGCATCTAAGAATGTTGCTTTTTAGGCTATCATCTAGACTCAAATCACAATGTATTTTACCAAACTACAATCTTAGTAATCTTTAATCTTTGTTGGAATTGTTATACATTCTGTCTTCCCTTTTCCAACTTTTACTTGCATTAGGTTACAAAGTTTATTTGTTTATAAAATTCTTGTAGGGAAGAGTGATCAGCTCTGCTGTGCAAGTGAATAGTTATGGAAACACAATGCAACAAGTGGTACAAATGCCTCATCTACATGTGATAGTATCTAGACTCAAATCACAAATTATTTTACCAAGCTCCAATTTTTAAACAATCTCTAATCTTTGCTAAAATTGTTTTCCTTTTTCCAACTTTAATTTTCTTGTTTTATGTTTCAAAGTTTATTTGTTTTTTAAAGAAATTGTAGGGAGGATTGTTTAACTCTACTGCACAGAAGAATAGTAATGGAAACTCAGCGCAACAAGTGGTAGAAATACCTCATCTACCTTTAATTCTCGCCGAGAACGTTTAGTAGTGTTGCTTTTTAGGCCATCATTTAGACTCAAATCACAAAATATTTTATCAAACTCCAATCTCAAATAATCTTCAATCTTATCTAGAATTGTCATTTTATTTTGTTTTCCATTTTTCAACTTTTCTTGTTTAAGTTACAGAGTTTATTTTTTTGAAAAAACTTGTAGGGAGGAAATCTCAACTCTGCTGATGAGGTGAACAAAAACGTAAACCCAGCTGAACAAGAGGTACAAATACTTTTTCTGTCTTTAACTATGCAAGAATATTTAAAATTGTTGTCTTTTAGGCCATCACATAGACTCAAATCACAAAGTATTTTTCCCAACTCCAATCTTAAAAATATCCGTTTACATAAAAGCAGTAGATTTTTGTTGTTACGTTGATAAAATCAAGTAACTATACTTTAAAGTATTGCAATTTTTTTAGTGCAGTTGATGTGCCGAAAGTGCAGAAAAGCTCCTTCACTCTACATAATACTAAGCTGAGACTTTAATTTCTTTGTACATAATGTTCTTACCATCCTTCTTTACAACTACCAGAATGCTGTAAAGGACGTCAAGTCAAAAGTAAAGTACGATGGATCTCATCCCAAATTGGCTGCTAGGCTTGAAAAGGAAATATTGGACACAAATCCAGGGGTTAAATGGGATGATGTTGCTGGACTAAGTGAGGCAAAGAGGATTCTACAGGAAACGGTGGTACTCCCACTGTTTATGCCTGAGTATTTCCAGGTACTGCAGATAGTTGATTCTGAATATTAGCATACTAATGAATGATGGGTGGGTGCATATATATATTTGGTAGGACAGAAGTAACATTTTAAGGAAAAATACTTCTCATCATTTTCTGGTGTCCAAAAAGTGAATAATCTCCCATATGTATTAGTCACGTAACATACTATAATATTGAATGTTACTTGCAGGGAATCAGGAGACCTTCGAGAGGAGTTCTTATGTTTGGTCCTCCTGGCACAGGGAAAACACTCTTGGCCAAAGCTGTTGCTACAGAGTGTGGGATGACATTTATGAATATTTCCTGTAGTTCATTGTGTGGAAATTGGTATGGAGAGAGTGAACGATTGACACGGTGCTTATTTGAGCTTGCCCGTGCTCATGCTCCAACTATGATTTTCATTGATGAGATTGATTCTCTTTGCAGTGTCAGAGGGTAAAACTATAATCTTGGCTCTTTATAAAATTTATTTCATATAAGCTGAGTATTTTTCTCAGTACTAAGCTTTGAAGCTGTTTCTCAGGTCTGCTACAAAGCATGAAACATCCCGAAGGTTAAAGTCTGAACTTTTAGTTCAGATCGATGGATTAAATAACTCTAATAGTACATCAGGTAAAATGGTGACACTTTTGGCAGCAACAAATTTCCCTGGGAATCTTGACGAGGCACTAAGGTAAATAAGTGACACTTTTGATGATTCACTAATTTTTCTTCTGTTACTTTTAATTTGCATTCTGTTTAATCGGCGATTCACTGTGCTACTTTAGGAGGAGGCTAGAAAAGCGGATTTACATCCCACTTCCTGATTTTGAGACCCGTAAGGAGCTTATACAGATAAACTTAAAATTAATCGAGGTAAGCTTTCCTTGTTTCAGCTGTATTTTTCTTGTATGTTCTTCTGTTATATTATCATCATAACCTCAAAAGAACTGTTCGATAATCAAAAGTCAATTACAGAAACTTTTTCTGACTTTTACAAAAAAAAATTTCATTTACATAGTAATAAACTATCAAGTTAAGTAAGCTATACTATGTTAGGTAGGACATAATCTATGTAAAATTTCACTTGCATAACTTGTATTCTCTAGTTCCCTTAGGGAAGTCATTCCCTTTTCTTAAAGGAATTTGTTTTCTTAAAAAAAAGTTCATTTGTTTTTTTTATGACAAGGGAAACCCGCAGGCTCTATCCTTTGGGTGCGGATAGGGTAAAACGTCTGCTCCTATGCAATACCTTGCAAACGACATAGAAGAGGTAATCCGCACTAGGCAAGCCTGGTGCGACGAGCTCGACCCAGAAGGCAAACCCCTTGCTTTCACTAGTAAGGGGTTTCGAAGTTGAGACCTCTAACATGGAAGTTCCAAGCTTAAACCAACCTACAAAATATGGGAAAATTGATAGAGTGGGTTCAAAATGAGTGTGATCTCATTATAAATTTTTCATTTCAATATCTTTTACATTGCGTGTGATGTTTGAGCCGAGAGAAATGTCTTCATGTAGAACTGGCCCTAGATTAGTATTATAGAATGGAAAATTTTGTTGACTGAAAAATTCAATGGCAGTTGGCTCCTGAGGTGGATATTGAGCAAGTGGCACAAAAAACAGAAGGCTACAGTGGAGATGATCTAACAAACATCTGCAGAGACGCTTCCTTGAATGGCATGAGGCAGAAGATAGCTGGGAAAACCATAGACGAGAGCAAGAACATATTGAAATCAGAAATACTGAAAATTCCAGTTACAATGGAAGACTTCCTAGAAGCTGTAGATAAAATAAAGCCCACAGTTTCTTCAGGGGACATTCAACGACATCAGAAATGGTACTCAGAGTTTGGATCATCATAGTAAATGAAAGTTCAAATGTGCTGCTTTTTTTGTAAGAAATCAAATTGATCGTTGTGGACAAGCATCACTGTTATAGCGTCAGATATTTTAGGAACTATTTTCGATAGATGATCCAATGTTGATGATACTACTACTGATATATGGGCTCTTCCATGGCAAATTTCAATCGATATATAGCTCAAATCTTCTAAATGGTTTCAAAATTTTAGATATGATATTCCCCTTTTCATATTTTGATTTTTTGATATATTATTCACTCGAATGGATTCACTGAATTTATTAAATTCAGGAAACTTACCTGTGGAAATTTTCTGGCTTTCTTTTCTGTCAATACATTTATTACTTTTTGAGTTTTTTTTCCAGCAATTTTTGTTCTCTTATACAAGAATAAGAAAGAAGGGAATTGAAGAAGAAGATGGAAATGAGAAGTCCTCAATGATGAATATGAATAAAAATAAGGGAAAAAGGACGAATATATCCTCGAACTATCATAAATAGTATGCAGATATCTTCTGTCATACTTTAGGATATTAGTTCCCTTGCCGACAAAAAACTAGAGCATATATACCCTTAATGAGAAGAGAAAAATCAAGATTCGTCGTTTTGGTAAGGAGTTGATTGCAGATTACTTCAAGGATTTAATAATACAAGGTATGTGAGATTTTCATAATGTGGTGTTCTTTCATCCACGTTCCAAGTATGTTTTATTCAGCGTGAATCATTCTAAAAGAATTGGAATTTGAATGTTCTTTAATTGTTTTTGTTCTTAAACATGAGTTGCCATTTAGGAGTTTCTTGATGATTAAAGTGTTGTTTCTTGAGTTTTCTAAGTAAGATCTTGTGTATATAAGTTGGTTACATAAATCTAAATAGAATTTGAGAAAAATAATCTGGTTAAATTTATTTAAGATAAAAAAACGAGGCCAAAAGTTTGTCAAATTTTACCTGAAGGAACAACTGGCGTGATGTGCCCCCATAGAGCCAGGCAGGCTAAGGCAGTGAATAAAGAGTAAATAGTAGTATTATTATGAAGTTCATTTCTTCAAAAGAAGTATATGGGGACTATGTATTCCCAAAATATATTTAATTTTTATTTAACATTTAAATAAAATAGGAAGCTGAGATTTCCAAAGGAACTTTGGGCTAGTTTTCATAAAAGAGTAATAGCTTTAAAAATGAAGTAAGAAGGGAAACTTACTTTTCCAAGATAGCCTTTGATCTAAGTTTTTGGGAATTAATATCGAATCACAAAAAGAAGTTGTTTTGAAAACATATGAGCTAAGTATATTTAATTGGAGTACTATTGAGCACCAATATGGGGATGCGATTACATATTAATTCAAGTCTCAATAAACCATGCAGTAATCATGGATAAAATAGATTGACACTTTTTAGATTAATCTTTTTTCTCATAGACTACTGGATCCACTTAGTGAGTTAGCTTCCTATACCCTCAGAAAAGTATAATATGGTCCTTGGCAGTGTGAGGTTAAGTGTTATATCATCACTATAGCTCTTAAGTGATTCTTGGCGATTAGATAAACTCCCACAATAGTAATTGCATGGTTCAAGAGTTTTTGCTTAGTATTAAAGGAGGTATGAGACTTCATTCATGGATTGATCAAGTAGACTTTGAGAGGTAGTATGATATGTATTTAATTATAATTATGAGTTGACATCATGATTTATTTTTTTTTCCTTTTCCTTATATTTAATTTTTTTAAATGGCTTGATAATGAAATGAGTTCAGTTAAGTATTCATGAGTTGCAAAGAGCCAAGGTAAATATCTTTCAAGCCTATGTTGCTTTAGCATTCCAATTCGCTCACTCGTACATTCATTGTACAGATGTAAATTGGCCTGCATCATCTTTTGATGCAAAAACATGTAACTAGGATCGACATTCCAGTGCACCGTTGATCTAGTGAGCAATTTAGAATCAATCAATGAGCCTCCTTGCATTCCAGAAGATCCATTTTCATCAGTTTCTAGTTAGTTCATTAGGATTTTGTGGGGTTTGTCCCAACATCCATCCCAATTATCAGAGGATTCATATATAGTAAGACAAATGTTAGTTCATTTGTCATCATTTTTTTATTGACTTGTGTTCATTTTTTAGTTTCCACTTTTGCTATGTTAAATGTTTAATTTTAAATATTTTGATTTAAGTTCGAGACAGTTGAGTTAGTTAGCATTTTAGTCCTTGTATTAATGTTTTAAGTCTTCCACTGAGTTAAGTAAGTCAGGACAGGGTTCGCTTAAGTCCATCAACGCTTCTCAGCCAGCCAAGTCTAGGGTGTACGCTCGGGGCGGGACACATGTTTTGGAGATTCTCTATTGATAGTCATCACTATGAGCTATGTGATGATACAACGTCTAACTCATGCCTCAAAAAATTTCCTATACATTGTCAGAGTATAGAACACCTTAACCAACTAGATCCACTAAGTTATGCTTAAAAGAAATAAGGAATCTTCTAAAAAGAATGACTCATTACCCATGTTATCTACATGATTTATAAGAATTATGAGTTGTTTGAACTCTCTCACATATCTATGATCAATAATAGTACTACCAATAATATATGACATCATACTCAATGTATAAAACATATTTCTTTCTCAATTGTAGGCAATTACTCAAAAGATCCTCTTTAAAGAGGTACCACTCTAACACATCTATGAACACATAACTCATTTAGAAATTGATATTTCTCTCTTTTAAAATGATAAAGTCCTACATTCGGGAATACTTAATTCCCTAATACTCATTCATGAAATATGATACAAAACTCTCCTCATCCTCATACTCATTTACTCAAGACTTACTTTAATTTTATTGTCAATTTCAAAAGGCTACCCAAAATGACTCAAAATGGACTTTTTGGACTTTCCTTCTTAACTTTACTCTAATTTGAAATGTAAATTAATACATGTGGTTTGAACATGTAGGATATCTCAAGGATTAATGAAGACTTTAAGAATTAATATCAAGAAGATAAAGGACATGGTATTCCTAGCAAACTTAGTGGTGCAGGGTACTGACCCCAAGCTAATGGCAATAGTTTTGGGCTCATTAATAGTGTGACATGCTAGGAACCAAACTACTGACCATTATTTTGGGCGATATGGCTGGCGTGGCACCCTACCTCTCTGCCAAGATATTTGATGAACTTTTCTTCTCATTTTCAGGTCCTAACTCATCTAAAATATAGTGATTTCTTCTAAACTATTTTTAATTTACAAACCCAAAAGGAACTCATCAAATACATAATAAATTTCTATAAAAAAAACTCAACTTATACTCAACACCATCAACTCAAGAACTCAACACCTCCACAGTTGAAGAATGAGGAAAAAATTAAGAACTAATTCAAGAGTCTCTCAATAAACAATTTCTTGAATGAAATTAGATGTACGACGTGAGGACAAACAATCTCAACACCATGAGAAACTTAAATACCTAGAAAGAATGATGTGCTAGGCGATATCCCCAAATTCTTAAATAAAGCTTGAACTTAGCCTTTTTCTCCTCTAGAAACAATTGTGCCAAACTCCAAACGTGTAGGAAAGTAAAAAAATAACCTAAATAATCTTCTTGTTATACCTTTATTCGGACTGACCAAAACGTCTAAGGCCTGGTAGGGTTAAGAAAAGACCAAAATACCCTTTCCTTAAATAGATGGATCTCCTTACCTAGAGAGGATTCACTCAAATGACTATAACTTTTTACTCCGAGCTCCATTGAGTAAATCTTTGATTCTAAGGGTTTAAGATGTTATGAACTTGAAGTGGGATCTTGGCTTTGGTTCACACTCTATTTTGTTTTTCTCAAAAAGTCATTTACATTCTTCTGTCAATCCCTACTTATGGTTTGTAACATACCCCGCCATTAAAATTATCATCTTTAATTACAAAGAGCTTTTTGCTAAGGAAGGAGGTAATAGAATTAAAAATACAGACTGAAGCAGAAAATAAAAAAATTGGTTCATGGTAAAGTATCCTGAAGAAGGTAAGGCTAGGAAAGACCACAAGAAGTTGGAGAAGGGGCATACCTCGTCAAAAGAGTATCCTGATGAGCTTTCTCAATGAAGGCTTGGTTCATGAATATGACCTGATGGAAGAAGAGTTGAATGTTTGTGAGTCGAGCAGTCAGACCCATCTTAAAGAACTAAGAAAATGAGACATAGTTTCAAGTTTTTTTAGGTAACTTACCGAATAAGTTGGATAACAAGATGATTCTTAATTTTACAAGAGAGTTCATGGAAAAAACCAATCAGAATGAATCTTTGGAAATGGATGTGGTGGATGCTTAGTGAGCTTGCCATGAGGTAGTGATGCCAAAAGTTCCTCAAGGAGGTTATATGCAGAAGGTTCTTCTCATAACCATGGAACTATGTATTGGAGCTTACATGTATTCCATATTTGTTATTAGGATAGGATAAAAGTCGGCGTGGCTGGACTGCTCTTTATATCTTAAACAGTGTGTTTCTTACATTCATAATGGATTGGTCAAGTTCTTCTCTTTTTACAGCCGGGGTCAGAGCTTTAAGTTAGTAATGTCTCTTTAGTACCCAATACCGTACTACAATTATTATTCAATATATTAATATAACTACAATTTTGTGTCGTTGTTTCCCTTGCAAAAATGAAGATAAGTCTTTTGATTAGGGGTGACAACTGAGGATTTTAAGATAAGTTGCCATAGACTCTATAAATAGTTATTTTATATTAAATAGGAATAAATTCTTATATCTACTGTGGGAAATGGGGTCCCTAGATTACCTCTATATGCACCATTAGTATTACACTTCATTCCTTAGTGGTGGAATAAACTTAGATGTATTTCGTCCGACCGAACGTCAAACTCTTTCTTCCCCACATACACAACTAGTTTTTTAAACCAAATTTGGAAAAGTTCTTTAAGGTTCATAGTAGCAATAGGTGTTGTCAAGAACGTAGAGGAGGAAGGATGCGCAGTTGGCTACATTTAGTATCGATCGTACATGGACGGTAGTTTGAGTTAGGGGCTCCCCGAATCAACTAAATAACATGATTTCTCAGTTGATGCATTTTTTAAACACTGAAAGACTGATATTAAAATATACATAAAAGGGAGAAAAATTAATCAGCAATATATCATGATTCAACAAAGCTTGCTCTAAAAAATAGACTATCCATAGTATAAATA